ATAGCACTATGCTGCTTTGGGATTCAAGGTTGTGGGCACCTAAAGCTGTGGCAGAGAGTGGGGAGTGCTGGGGCTGTACAGGTGGTCAGCCAGCAGTCACCAGGGTACCCACAGCCCCATCTCTGTTTAGACTGTACTCTTTGGATGGCAGAGGATGCCAAAGGGATTTTAAGCAGAGGATGAAAATCTAGAGGTTATTTTAGTGACACTAGAGAGGACAGACTGTAGGGGAACAATGATTTGAAGAAGCATAACTTCTTAGGAGACATTTTCACATCTGAGTAATAGCTAACCACAGCTAACACAGCACTTGTGATGGTTGCTAAATAAGCATCACAATATAATAGTCTTAATATTCTCTATAACCTTATAAATGAATACTATCATCATCTCCATTGTAGAGCTAATGAGACAGACACAGATAAGCAATTTGGTCAAGATCAATACCAAGCCAGTACCAACATCATGCTTTTGCTATGAATCTCAGCCTCGTTTGTTTAATGTCCATCTCTCTATTAGACTTTAAGCCTCCATATAGACAAGAAGTCATATTGGCAGTGTTCACCATGTCTACACCCTCTTTACAAAGTTCTTACTTGTTTTATAAAGTCAACGAATCATCTACATGGAAGAAATAGTGGGGTAAATCATGTAGGGTCAAGGGTCTGGATGCAACGCTGATAATCGATATTTTCCTAAGGAGAGACCAGAGTTTTCTTGCTCTCTCTTCACTAAGGACAGGCCATGTGCTGACATAGGAAGAGGCAGACAGATGCAAGCCAGGAAGAGAACCTGCGTCAGGAACTGTACTAGCCAGGACCTTGAGCTGGGACTCCTACCATCTAGTACAGTGGGAAGAGGGATTTCTGTTGTTTAGACCACCACAGTCTATAGTGTTTGGGTATGGCAGCTCCCAAGGAACAAACCAAGACGAAGGTTAATATGACAAGGATGGGTAAATAATGGAGAGGTTTCTACCTCAGCATGCTGCAGAGACCATGATGTCTCTACTGGAGGAAAAGGAGATATTTGCAGTGGTCAGTACACAACCCCAGTTACTTTGTTTTTAGGGTTCGCCTTCACTCCAACACAGAAATAGGAAATTTATGTATGACTACTTACTCAGTCATTGTTTACTTATAATTACACAGCAGTCTCTGTGCTCATTCTGGGAAAAGTGTTAAGAGTCATTCTCTGCTCAAGGGACTCAGGCCTGTGGGAAGAGATACCATTCCCTTTGTGAAGGTGGCATCCAACTGGAAAGGCATCCTTTTCCCTACCCCTAAGGACTTGTAATCAACCGATTAGGTCAGGGGTAGTAGCCTGCATGGTCATGTGATCCACATTTGAATCTGAGTTATACAGGCTCAGTGGTGATCTGGGTCTTTAGGGTCAGCCCTTGTAACTAGAATCAGATAAGGTAGGTAGAATCCTAACATGGAATAGGCATGTTAGTAGTTACTACAATGATTAAAGATAGAGTCCTAATCCAAAGAGACCAAAGTCATAGTCAGGAAAAAAAAAAAAAAAAAAAAAAAAAAAAGCCAGGTTTTACCACCACACTAGGCAGCAGAAATTCCAGGTTAGAGGGACAATATTAGAGTAGTGGAGTCAAAGTGGCAGACAACAGGCATTGGGTATCTACAAACCTATTTCAATCATAGTTTGGTTATCACTTACAAGAAGTTGAGTAAGCCATGCTATCGATCTAACTTAAGTTGTTTCATCTACAAAGTGAAGTTAATAATACCTACCCAGGAGGGCTGTTCTGAATATAAAAAGGGCTTGGCGTGGTGCCTGGCAGAATTGTCACTCAATTAATGGCAACTGTTGCTCCTATTAATATAATCATTTTCCTCTTTCACCTCCTAAGGGACATTTTTTTAGATGGTTGAGTTACTTGAGATTTGATGAAGCGAGGGGAATGGAAGAGCTATTAAAGACTAGCTTAAATGTTATTTTTAAATTTAAAGAAAAGCAGTTTAACTTGGCTTGCTTCTCTTAACATGTGGTGCAAGCATAAGTCACATAAGTTGGCCACTGTTCTGTGGCTTAAAGCCTGCATATAACCTCCTTGTTAACAAACCCTTGTCTCCTACCCAAAGTAGGTCTACCAAGCATTGTTAATAAGGGTTCTCTGAGGGTATTTAATTCCTTTCCAATTTTAATATAAACTTGAGTCATCCAAGGACTAGTTAAAATGCAGATTTTCATCCAGTCAGTTTATAGTAGGGCATGAAATTCTGCATTGCCAATAAGCTTCCATGTGAGACTCATGCTTTGGGTTGAAGGATGGCATCCCAAGAAGTGGAAAGGCTCCGGGAAGACATACAAATACATTTTGTTGGTCTAGTGCTTGTCACTGCCCACTTCTCCTTAATGCTCTACCTAATAACAGACTATTAATAGAATATGAGCAAGCTTGTTTCAGACCAGACTTGAAATTCTGTCTATGGACTCATTTTAAATCAATATCAACTATTTTGGACAACTTTTCCTGAAACACAGTTTGCTTCTAAAGATAGCTCTTATTAGCCTTATATACTCCATAAACTGCTAACTTCCTGAAGGTAGTCTTGCCTTCACTGTTCCTAAAACTGTATATCAACAGATGGGTGGAAGAAATCACAGAGTCTCATTAAAAACATTTCTAAACTAAAAATTCCAGTACATTTAGCGGGCTACCACCCCTTGAGTCTTTATTCAGAGGTATCCTAAAGACCTACCCTCCCAAAACATTACAGGCTATTGCCACTGCTCTGGTTGCCCTTTAGAATTTGATGGTATGACCTTATTGCTGAAGACACCATATACTTTGGTCACAAGTTATGGAGGAATCAAGTTGGTAATGCCTAGACGGCTTCCTTGCAGGTTCCTTTCAGAATATGGAAGGTGCTATGTAGATTGCTGGAGGAAAAAAAGTCATCAACAGTCTGACCCAGCTGTGAACCCTGTGAACTAAAATAAAAATATTGCCTTGTTATGGCAAGATATACCCATGACTGTAATAGTGGCATGAATGTTAATGGGGGTAACACACTGCTTTCTGATTGGACTTAAGGCCTGCATCACCCGAGGAAACATGTCTGGTACTAGAAATCCGGTCAGGAACCCACAGTTGGAGAGCTCACAGGCCCTGGTGGGGGAGAGAAAACCTACCACTAATTCTTCTGCTAAATGAACTTAGTATCAAACTGCCCTCTAAATTTGTATCTCTACCCATAGATTATAGTAGCTCTCAGAGCTTGTCAGAAAAGTTTCTTTGTACAATGGATGGTGGTTGATATAGAAACTTAACAACTGGTCCAAGCACAGAGAATGGGTGTTAGTGGAGTGCTCAGCCATAAATGGGACATCTACGTCATCTGCCTTAAAGTTCATGGACCATCACAGAAGAGGGGGCAGTCATACTGTAAAACCTAGGAGTTGGGAGGACTAGAGTGAAATGGTGTCTCCTGGACATGACAGGACCACTGCACTCATCAATTTGCAGCAGCTGTGTTTGCCTGCACATGACCTGCGCAAGATCAAGCCTGTCAACACACTCTCACTTAGATGGGGGTGGTTCATACGTCTCCACCTTAAACTTGGGAGCTACAGACAATTGATGGTTTGGGGGGCAGGAAGAGTCAGTTTTTTTCAGAATGTAGCCTCTGGCAGGTTGACTGTACTCTTGTGGATAAGGGGAAAAAGATGGCAAGATGTCAGGAGAGTAGGTAGGTAGGTGGGGTGGATCCAGGAGGAGTTAAGAGGAAGAATGATGGTGAATATGATCATATTGTATTATACAAAATAACCAGAGAATTAATAAAAATATTTTCAAAAACATCTTCTGGCACTATATGACAATGAGACACTTTCTCCAACTAACTGGAGTTGCATTTACCAGAAACTTAAGTCTTGGTAAGTCTCGGGGAAAACCACAAGTGGGAGACAATGAGAGAGACTATGACAAGCTGTAAGCTAAGCAGAGTGGAAGAGGCCGGGGGCTCAGCCAACTATGAGGGAGACTGGGAAACGTAAGACCGTGCTTTGAAAATTCTCAATGGTGACCCCTGGAAATAGATTTGATTAAAACCAGTTCTGGGTCAGATCTGGTAAATAAGGGTCAGGGCAAACACAAGGCCAAGGGAGCCAACTCTAAAGTATCCAGATTGACTTTTCTTGAGTGAATTTGTACTTGGGCCCAGAAGGCAGTCTCCAAAGACAAACCTCATACACGAAGTCAACCATCATATAGCTTGCTATGGCGCCACGTTTCCAGCTAGTAGGGATGGGAAGACGGTGATGGTGTTGAAAGAAACCCATTCATTTGGGTGGAAGCATTTTGGGGTCTTGACTCGGAAGAAGTATTTCTCTAAGTCCCCACCTTCTTTACTGTGAGGAGCAAGAGTCCCTGGATGTACAAAGACCCGACTGCTTTAGAAAACTCTCAGTCCCTAACCCGGCTGCCATTTTGTGTGTGAGATGAATGGCTGCTAGTAAGTTAAAGAGAAGAATGTCTAAGGGGCCTGGGGTTTGTTCAGCCTCATTCAAAGGGCAGAACTGGGAGGCTCTGGAGACTTGGGTTTCTGTTCCCTATGTGTAAGACACTGCAGCTGGAGCTGTCCAGCAACAGCATTCGCTGTCTTAGGAAATGGTGAGCTTACATACAGCTCTAGCAGTTTGAAGCAGAGGCTACCGGATTCTGTAGAGGCAACCCTGTAGTGAGCAATACCTGGCGCCTGGTAGACCGCAGTAAGAATTACAGGTGGGAGAGAATGGATGAGGAATATTTTAGCTGGTGAGCCAAGTGGAGTGGAAGAGGCCTGGGGCTCAGCCAGCTGCAAGGGAAGCAGCAGAGCGTGAGCTATCTAGGGAGCCAATAACAGGCCTTCCTGGAGTTTCTGGCTGGCAGATCAGAGGTATTGCTTTGGGTACCTGAGGCCTCTCGTGGTTGTGAAAGGCAGTATCTTTGAAGGGGGGGTAGGAGCTGGGGAAGGATAAAGACCACTGCTCACCCTTCTTAAACTCCTCCAGCACCGTGTCCAGCCGGGTGTCATTGAAGACGCAATGCAGGGGCCGGTTGTAGAAGCGGGTGACTGTGAGCAGCGGGGTACAGTCGTCCGGGTCCACAAAGGCCAAGTCTTTGACGAACAGAATGTCTACAATGTTGTGCCTCTGGTCTCCCTCATACACCGGGATGCGCGTGTAGCCACTGCGGAGGATCTCGGACACAGTGGCGAAGTCAAGCACAGCGTCGGAGCGCAACATGAAGCAGTCCCCAAGGGGGGTGAGCACCTCTTCCACCACCTTGGTGCGCAGCTCCAGCGCGCCCTGGATGATGTTGAGCTCTTCCTTCACCAGGTCGCTGTAAGGGTCGGCGGCCCGCAGCGTCTCCAGCAGTTTCTCCCTGGTGTAGAAGGTGCTGATCTCCTGGCGCAGCGCCCAGTCCAGGAGGCGGCCCAGCGGGTAGCACACCGGGAAGGCGGCAGCCATGAGGAGCCGGGTCAGGCACACACTGTGCGAGGCGATGGCCAACCCGTGCCGCGAACACACCGAGTAGGGACAGATCTCGGCTCCCAGGAACACCGCCCCGGTGCACACGAGAGCGGGCAGCCACGGGAAGTGAACCCCCGCCTCGCCATAGTCCTCCCCGGGGCCCCCGACGCCCGGCGGCAGCGAGGCGTACAGCCAGCCCGCCAGCGCGGCATTGGCACCGGCTTGGCCCAGGAGCAGGGTGCAGAGCAGATGGGTCCCCCTGCCGCGCACGGCCTGCACGCGGCGCGCCTGCTCCTGCTCGGCGGCCGAGCCACTGTTCCGCAGCACCCGTAACTCCACCGGGTCCAGCGAGAGCAGGCTCAGGCGCAGGCCGCTGAACAGGGCGGACAGGGCCAGCAGCAGGAGCGCCCCGAGCGCTCGCAGCCACGCGGGCGGCAGCAGGTCCCCACCCGGGCCGTAGAGGCGCGGGCGGACGCGCAGCAGGAAGCCGCCGGCCGCGCCGTGGTGGTGCCAAGCGCGCCCGTCCCAGGCGCACAGCGAAAAGAGCTTCCCGCCGCCGCCCGCGCCGCCGCGCTCCGCCTCACCCTTACGCAGCTCCCGCACCCGCACCTGGACCAGGGCCGAGCCCGCCACGCCCCCGGGGCGCAGGGGCCCCAGGACCTCCACGTCCGATGCCCAATCGCTCTGCTCGCGGCAGCGCTGCGGTCCCGGGGGACGCGTGGGGACCGCGCTGGGCGCCACGCCGCCCGCACCCGGGGGCTCCTCGATGAACACGAGCCGCGGGGCCCAGTCGCCCGTGCCGTTCTCCCCCGGGGCCAGGGAGGGTGCAGGCACAGGCGCGGCGGGGGCCGCCGGCCCAGGCTGGAAGTAGACCCGCAGGAGGAAGCTGGTGCCTTCGGCCGCACGCAGGGTACCCCCCTCCAGGGACACGCGGCCTCCAGCAGTGTCTTCGGGCCGCAGACCCAGCAGCCAGGCAGCAGCGGCCGGGGGCCGAGGTGACAAGGAGAAGAAGAGCAGGAGCACGGCGCCCCGGCTGCAGCAGTCCCGGAGCCTGACACCCAGCGCTGCTGCCGCCGCGGCCGCCGCCGCCATCCTGCACCCGGCGCGGTTGCACGTGATACTGCAGCAAGCCGAGTGTGAGCTGGAGGGAGGAGGAGCTGGAGCTGGGAATCCGGCCCCAGGCAGGTCACCACGTGTGCTCCCCTTGCGCGCGTGGGCTGGAGGCGGGGGTGGAGGGGGGCAGAAGGGGGTGGTTAGAATCTGCCTGGGAGGGGTCCCCTGCCGGAGGCTGGAGATGGGCACTAATTGTCACAGTGCCTAGCCTGGACATACTTAAGTATATCTGTGCAGTAGCCCTGGGAAGGCTTGATTTGGAGGCCTCCTACATGTTCCTCCCCTTTAAACTCCCCTCATTCCGCTCACTGACCTTATGCGAACTACTAACGGGCAGTAATTCTGAACTGAAGGCTCTCTGCTTTATATTTGACCCAGGAAGTTCCCCAGCGTTTCTCCTGTCACCTGTCATCTTCCTTCTAATTAAAAGATACTCTTGTGGTTAGCCCTGAATCTGTGAAAAAATTTGGTCTTAATTCTAGCTAGCCTTTCATATTATAAAAATCCCCAAATTAGAGTTCAACTCCTGATTAAGACACTAGCGTTCATCAATGAATTGAAACACATTAGGTTACCTTCCGTTATGGAACAGGGTACTACTATGCATCCAGGAAAAGATTATGCAAGATCCAATGTATATGGAAGGTTCAGAACAATGATGCAATATACCACTCTTTTGTTAAAAAGTACTCACGAATGGATTTTCTGCATGCCAATATCAGGCTTCAGAGGAAATGATACACAAGAAATGTAGTAACAGGATTCGCCTCTTGATGTATAGATTAACAAGAAGTTACAAAAAAAAAAATAATACACAGAAGTAGCTCTACTTTTCACTCGGTTCCTTCCATGGTTTACATCCAAAGCAGGAAACTGACATTGGTGTGAAATTCATACCACTTTGTCATATCTAAATTTATGTAACCACCACCAACCCCCACCATAGTAAAGAAAGACACACACCTTCCCCTTTCCCCAGCAAGATCTGGAGATTTTCCCACCGAATCGCTCATGTTATTTGGATCCACCATCTGCTAGTATTGCTTTATTTTTATGCCTCATTTCTTAAATGTATGTAGCAAAATTCACTTTTTTTGGTGTTATACTGCTATATACGTTTCATTGTGTTTTGAGAGTGGGTTTCATGTAGCACAGGCCAAACTCATCGAACTGCTCCAAATGACCTTGAGCTCTGGACTCCAGGGTTCACATGTGCACCGCTGCACTCGGCAATGCTGTGCACACACACGGATGGATGCAATGTCATGTACCAATCACAACAAGCAGTAGTTCCATAAGTGAACTGAGGGTGGAGCTAGCTTGCCTAGTTGTAGTAGGCCCTGGGTCCCACCTGAACCTGCACCGAGTGGGTGGTTCCACCCTTTTCCTTTTTATCTGTAGTTTTGTTTTCCAGAATGTCATATGAATATAAGTACTCAGGGTCTGGGAGCTGCCACCACTTACTCTGCATACTTAAAATCCATCCAATGGATGGGCTTACCAATAGCCCATCCATCTGAGGATGAGTATACTTCATTATGTGAGTAAGTCACAATTTGTTCACCTGGTTAAGGAATAATTGAATTATTTCCCGTTTTAGCAATTCTAATAAAGAGCTGTAGACATTTGTTAGAAGTTCATTCCTTAAGTGACTACACCATAGGGTTGTGCAACATTTAATTAAATAATTCTTTATTCTGAAGTCACATTTTGTGTATGTGTGTGTGTGTGTGTTACCCACCTTGCTTTGTTTTGTTTTGTTTTTGAGGCTAGGTTTCTCACGGGCTTGCCTAATTCTGCTAGGCTGGCTGGTCAGCATGCCTTTGGAATTCTCCTATCTCCATTTCCCCAGCACTGGGATGCCAAGTAAATGACACCAGGCCCTTCTTTTTAATCTGGGTTCTGGGGATCTTATTCAAGCCTCATGTTGCTTAGCAAGTACCTTTCTAACTGAGTTCTTTCCACCTCCTGAAGTCACATTTTTAAGTTTCATTTTTATATTACTTATTTTGATGCTGAGGATTAAACTCAGGGGCTCTTGAGTGCTAAGCAGCTGGTCTACGACAGCTCTGGTTTTATTTCCAGTTGATGAATCATAATTGACACAGGTATGGATATGGAATGATCACATTAAGGTCATTGGCACCTGCCACCTCAAATGTCTTTGTAGAAGTGGAAACACTTGAAATCCTCTCTTAGTGATTTCGAGGTGTTCAGTATATTGGCTGTAATCAGCTTGCTGTACCATGCTCCACCAGGCCCATCCCTCCCATCTAGCTGTCATTTTGTAACCACTGAACACTCTCTCCCTTTAGAGGTCAGCCTCCTCAGTACTACTGATAAACACCGCTCTACTCCGCTCCCAGGGGTTTGACTTTTTCTTTAGATTGCATATGTGGTTTTTAGATTCGGTATGATTCTATTTGTGTACTTGTCCATGTATATGCATATGGGTAGGTGGAGGTCAGATCTTCAGGAACTGGAATTATAGACAGCTGTGAGCTGCTCTACCGAGGCGGGGGTGGGGGTGGGGGAGACTGAACTCTGGTCCTCTGCAAGAGCAGTAAGTTCTCTTAGCTGCTGAGCCATCTCTCCAACCTCTCACTTCCCTCTTCTAATTGGGCCCCACTACCCATTAGTCATGGGACTGTTTAAAATAACCCAATTGGAGTCTCATCTTTTTCAACTATGATGAGGACTATAAGGGATGATGTACTTGGTGCAGCCTAAGTCCCAACACCAGATAACAGATTTTATAATTAGGGATATTAACTCCTTTTTTTGTAGTTTAAAAAATAATAAAAAAGGTCAAAATGCATGGGATGCCCATCTACAATACCACCTTTACACCCAACGAAGTCTCAGGGAAGCTCACAGAAGAGGGAAGGAAAGACTGTAAAAGTCAAAGGACCAGGAGCCTGTTTTGAGTATCCTATATCCTATATCCTGTATATGACAGGGAAGCCGCACACATGACATCTCAGCAACATGGTTGTCTAAACAAAACCTGCAAAATGATACCATCAACTGACATGTCATTGTATATGGGGGATACCTCACAAGGCCCTACCCTTAGATGAATAGCAGTAGACAATGGCTGTTGAGAGAGAAAGAACCCATATTCCCCAAGAATGAGCTGCCTGATAGGTTAGTCAATCCCTACCCATTAGCTCTAAACACATATACACATGAGCAACATTGGACAACTGCAGCAAGTTGTAGTTATAGATCTATTTGTTTACACACATAATGATAATAACTAAAGAAAAAGAGGCCACGAATCTGAGAGGGAGCAGGCTGGGCATGGGGATGGCCATAGGAGGGGTTGGTGGAAGGAGGTGGGGATGGTGTTAATAAGTCCACATATATGAAATTTAAAAAGTAACATAAAAGGAAATAGAAGACAAAATATTTTCCCAGTTCCTCAAATTCATAAACTCGTCTATTTCCATCTTGTTTTTTTTTTTTTTCTTGTGAGTGTGTGTGTAGTTATTTCCTAAGCTTTCTATGTGGTCCCAAAGTTACACATCCTCACTGAAATCTCTCATGTCTCTCCAGGCAGATTTTTTTCCTTCTCATCTGCAACTTCTAACATGAAGCCACTAGTTTGTTGTAAGGGTTCTTGCACCTCTATTAGGCCAAGAACTTGATCATCATGAGAGCATCACTTAACAGCTTTTATTAAGCTGTAGATGCTCACGAGAGCCCTGTGAAGCAGAAATAATTATGTCCACTTTACAGGGTAGATTAAATGGCTAGTCAGACATTTTTGGAACTCTGTACTTTTTATTGCTCCTTCCACCTTGTGGAACGGAGCAGTTAAATAAATAAATAAATAAATATATAAATGAATGAATGAATGAATAAATAAATAAATTTGCCCCAAATATTAGATAAGGTATTTAAAGCCTAAATTTCTCATTGAAAAAGGATCATGCTTCATGATAATAAAAATTGAATGCAAAAGAGCATAAATAAAATAAGTTATAAAACAACCAGAAATAAATATGTACCACATTCTTTTAAAAATTACTACATAGATAAATAAGAAAACCACACACACTTGAGCTCCCTGCACTTTCTAGTTATATGCAAAATATGCCCCTGCTTCTGCTGGTTAACATATCAACATCTTTTCCTCTGGTGTCACTGAAAATTCTTCCAAAAATAATAATACTTCTCCTGCCCTTCCCTTTCCCTGCTCTCAAGTTCTTCACATATGCCTCAGGCATATACGAAGGGTGGATTTTCTACCTAGCTACATCTTAGCTCCTCATAAAAGTAACTTTATAATGAGAATAAAGGGAAAGGGAGGGGGAATAAGAATCTTCATGTTCTCAATTACATCAGATCTATAAACAAGTGGTAGACTTAGAAAATCAATTAGTTTTCTGAGCTCAGTGCCTCATGTGTGAAATGAGTTTTCAGATCTCCACCCCTTCATGAATCAGAGAATAAGGGCTAATGAACCCCAGGTGAAGATAAGCTAGAGACACTGAGTACTTTTCCTTTTGCTGAACATGAGGGCCTGGAAAAGTACTGGGTTTCCAGAGTGCTGCTGTAGCTGCAAGGATTTCTGGGGACAGGTTCAGCTAGTGTGATTGTCCAAAGGAAGAGCTGGCAAAAATAGCTTCCAGAAACCAAATGTTCACTCTCTTCCTAGTTTATAAGACAACAGTCCCACACTTCTTAGAGAGAAGGAGGACATAATATTTACCTCCAATGTCATGAATGTGCTTTTTCAGAATATACTTAGCAGAATGCTTTGCCTTCTGCCATTGCTTGTTCATAATGAAAATGTGTTAACTGACAAAGTGTCATGTTCTGGTCTCGATGTTAACACCATCCTTGCTACACTAGAGGTTATATTATATCAGAAAGACAAGCATGAGTGGAAACTGCTTACTTACTGAATTAAGGAAATCTTCAAAATACACGAGGCTGTGTAATTTCCAGGCCATCTAGAGAGAAGAGTCTAGAAAATGATGTCTCAAAATGAGAGGTAGAGAAAATAGAAGTTTATACATTTGGACAACAAGAAAATTATTAGATTATTAGATTCTACATATAAGAAAAAAAT